TGCTAGTTATGCCTCAGATGATGAGGACAATGAAACTGAGAGTTTTGGTAAACAAAGTATAAAGGAAGATAGTGTGAAGCATCAGTCAACATCAAGCAAGTTATCGAAAGGCACAGATGTGCTTCATAATGGTGGTTCACAGGAAGAAAATAAAGAGCGTTCTGATCTCGGTAGTAATAGTCAAAATGCTACCACAGTAAATCATAATGCTGCAGTTTTTGGATTAAAGGATGCAGAGGCAGCGAAACTATCCGATTCAGTGGCTGAGCGTGAAGTGCTGGATGGTGTCATTGCTTCTAAGATTATGAACACACTAGCTGCAAAGGTAGCTGGTCAAAGTGAAAACATCGTTGAAAATGACAGCTCCAAAAGGTCACTGATGGGTGATTCTTCGGGTGAAGAAACTAGAGACAAGTTAGATAAAAATGATAGACGTGAACAAGAAAGAAATGCGGTTGAGAAAATTGTCAGAGAGTTAGAAATTGACAAGGAGAGTGCATATGAGAAAGAGGGAACAAATAGTAGGCGTGATCAGAGGCACTTGAAAAAGGAAAGGAGGGATGATCAAAATGGTTTAAAAGAAAGAGTTGTTAAACCTTCAGAAAAAGCAAAGGATACTGATTCAAGAAAAAGGGCCTCTCCTGATTATGACAAGGAGGGTAATAAGGAGAGGCATGCAGACAGAAGATCAAGTGGTAAAGAAGAAAATGATAGGAAAAGGGAAAGAACTGAGGATGATAGAAGAGAAAAATCTAGTCGTAGAAACTCAAATGAATCTAGCAGACATAAGAGACACCATTCGCCTTCCATCACTGGTAGGGATCGAGACAACAGAGGTGGATTGGTTGTTGGCCATGCTTATGATTCAAGTGATGAATCATCAGATAATTCTAAAAAGTTCGTATTTCAGTTCAATAGTTGTTGATCATTTTTATTTTTTATTCAACTTATCATCTGAAGGACAAAAGAATTGCTTATATTTTCTTTTGGCCTGCAGAAAGATGCACTCAAGGAGACGTAAATCACCATCTCCTGTCAGGTCGAGGAAAAGGTATTTATCTTAGTCTCCCAATAATCTGGGAACACTCTTGTTATTCTTACTGTTGTGGTCTCTTTTTTTTTCATGTAAGACCATGAATGCTGTTTAGGATTAATACTCCAAAGAAAAGGGTTGAATTGACTTTAACATGCAAAATTGTGAAGCTGTATATGATACGTGAAGTGCTGTATTTAAAGGCCCTTGTTAATATAACTTACTTGTAGTGCCTTTTTCTGACAGTTGGCTTTAAGAATATTATGCTTCATGCTCGTATGCTTCTAGGTTCTCTTATTTGTTTCCAAATATTGTCCAAGTTTTAAGAAGAATTAAAAGCATAAGTCATTGTATGAGCAATATGGGCTTTCTTGTTTCTTGTGTTTTTCTGTATGAATTGCCTATGGCTTTCCGCAAACTTCTGAAGTTTCTGTCACCTTATGTGAGGTGTATTATTACTATTTATGGGCATATTTAGTTTGTTTTTTCTGTTGCTGATGCTTTTTCTCATCTGATTTTGTCTATTAATAATTGATTGATTAGTTCATTGTATTACCCATCTTCTATTCCTTGACAACTGTAATTGATAACAATCAGGTATTAATCTGCATAGAACAGATTTTGCTTCAGGCTGACTGCTGGATAACTTGACATAGATACAAGAGCGTATAATCAGATATATGAATCACATGGGAATATGACTCAAGATGGAAATACTCTTAATATACTAACTTACTAATGCTGGATGTAGATAAATTTTCAAATCCTGCCTGAAATAATTTGATTTCTTCTCTCCCCTCACCCCTCAGCACAAAAAAAAAAAAAAAAAACTAAGCAACTGGTAATGTTGAGAGCACGCAATTTACGGTTCAGATGCTGATTACGTAAACAGCATTGTTAGTGATTTGCTGTTATTTCTCGTCTACTTTGTGCAAGCCAGGAGCTGTTTGGTAATTGTGTTCTGGTTTGCAATATTTCTTTAATCTCTACAGGTTAAGGGTTGGAAAGGATCAGTGATGTCGCATAGACTGTGTCTTTGGGATTCAGTGATCTTTATGTCACACCAGAAATAGGTTTCTTGGCCTGTTGGCTTTCTGTAGAGCATGTGAAAGAGGCGTCTTGTTTTCCTTTTTTAAATTTACCCTTTTCCTCGTGCATTTTGCAAATGTTGATTATTGCAATAAGTCAAGAATGACTATTTTATGTAGCTTCTCTTTTCGGAACGTGCTTTGGAACTTGCTGAGGCTTTTGCCTGTGATTCTTGATAAATATGGTTGAGAAGAAACTAATTTCTCTCTTTAAAATCTTTGTGATACTATTTGTTTGACATTTGACATTCAATTCTCTAAAGCTTGCTATCATCAGAAGAATGAGGTATCATATTGGCTATGATTATTTGTTTAGGAGGCACTGTGAGGGAAACTCGTCCAGATGATGGTTTTGCTTTAATAAAGCTTTTAGCTTAACTCCTTGACCTTGAGTGCTTTTTGGCAAATATTGAAACAATTATTGTCAGGACCACAATAAGTTTGCGAACAGGCCTATCATTTAAAGCATAATGTGTTAAAGGCCGAGAAATCGTGTTCAAAAGTTATATTTTAACTCTATTAGTATGCAATGTTTCATTTATAGACAAGTTTCGCGGTCTCCTCATAGCAAGCACTCTCAGCGCAGGCATTCTCCTTACTCTTCTCTTGAGAGTTCCAGGTATGTTGTTGGACATATCTAATTAAAGTTTCAATTATTTGAATATAACCATCCATCAATTGCAACTAAGGTGAAAGAACATCTATCTTGAAGTCGTGAATTTTTGTAGCATATGAATTGATCTTTTGCAATTTTAGGGGGAGAAGGTCAAGATCGAGGTCAAGGTCGCCTAGTCGTCGGAAAAGATGATACCCAAGATTGGATGGAGATGCAAGATACCCGAATCAGAAACTTTGTGCCTAAAGATCCTTGTAACCAGATATTTTCGTTCTTGTTAATGCAAATATTGGAGACTGGTTTGTTATATCATCCCAAGGGCTTTCCTGTTTTGCTTGTAAGTAGTAGTTACAGAGGCAATATGTAGCGCTGCATTTGGATCATCTTCAATGTAATTATGCCAGCTCCTAGTTTCGACACAAACCATGGGATGATTTCTTTTCCCTTTTGTCCTACAATTGGATTAACTCATGTCAACGAATTTTGGCATTGTAGTATTCATCAAAGAAGTAGATTCTTTGTAAACACCAAAGGGTTGGTAAAGACCGAACAACTTTCAGCCAGAAAAGGAACAAGTTAAAATGATTAAAGATGGAACTGCTGCTTGCCTGTACCAGCTGGTGGAAATTTTCTATAGCTCACGAATCGTTGTAGACGAGCGGGGGTCAATGAAATCAATATCTGCTTAGAAAGGCAAGGGAAGAACTAGAAACAAAAGGCCGTGCCAAAATGTGGGAACAAGAGGTGTTGCTTATGTGATTAATGAATGTCAGAGAACGATTTTAAGGCTCCGTTTGTTTCGATGTAAAGCATTTTCATGATGAAAATATTTTCCAGGAAAAGATTTGCATTTTCATAATTTTCTGGTGTTTGGTTGCAATTTTGCAGCTTTGTTCCTACCCTCAAAACGGTTATGACTAATTACCACCACCACTGTTCTTTGCCAACTGCTACATAGCCACCTCAAGCCGACAAACCCTTAACCCGCGGAAATCCATCTTCTTACCACTTGAGATCGAGTAGCAGATCCATAGTTGACTTAGGAGAATTCCTTGATTGGGAGGTGAGGAAAATGTAATCTCACCGATCGCTAGAATATGATCCATAAACTCCAAATCCAATTTTCATAGAAAGATCAAGGCAATTTGACACAAAGATATTGGAGTTCCAAAAGAAAAGGAGAAACAAAAACGAATTCGAATGAAGAATGAAAAAGATCTTAAAGTTGTCTGGAAAGAGAAAATTGTATTCAAAATTGCTCCGAAAAAGTTGTCGGAAATAGAATCATAGGTAAGTTCACCAGTAAATTTCCTGATGAGCTTTTGAGTCTTTCATCTTCTTTAAAAGTAATGTTCTTTTGTTGAGAGTTTCAATCACAATCATCCGAAAACCAACTTTATTAGCTCGTTTAGGGAAGTTATTTTACACTGACCTTAGGAAAATTTTTTGCTATGGAAAGTATTTTCACCAACTCTAAAGCAACCAAACATCGGAAATTGTTGAAAATGATTTCCAGAAAATATTTTCAATCCAAACAAACACACCGTAAGTGTGTGTGTGTGTATATATATATTTTTAGTATAGGTGGAAGAACTCGATTTTGACATCTCTCACGTACACTTTCTTCTCTTAAATCACCCAATCCATTCCTCTCCAAATTTTAAGTGTAATTTACTACAATATGACTTCGCGGTGATAGAAGCTTATAAACCAAACATAGCCATGGATACAAACAGGACTAAGAAGTATAGTTGTTAGGCCCGTTGAAAGGAAAAAAGAGTAATACGATAAATTGAATTTAGCATCTCAGAGATCTAATGATTGAGAGAGTAATTGGAATTTGAAAAAGTGTGGGTATGTTTGAATAGAGTATTATTTGAAATATTATTTGAAATAATTACTGTAACATTTTTTATAATGTGATATATGTGAGATTTAAAAATGATCGAAAAATTATTCTGAATGCATCTTTAATTAAGCTGTTTATATTTTTTTTACCACATTTTGTCCTACCACTTGATAATTTTATTTAAGAATAGTTATAACACTATTATTTTGTTGTATAAATGCTTCTAAAGACGCAATAGCAAAGGAACCAATAGATTTCTGAAATAATTAACGAAAATAAACTCCGAAACAGAGTTCAGGAATTTGGGACCCAGCAGATTTGTTGGGTTGGGCAAGTCAGCATTTGCCTTTTATATGAAAAGATAGCTGACCTTTCTTGCTTTAGGTTCTCCTCCACCATTTTTTAAGTCCTAAACCCCGCTCCTTTTCCGACGTAAAAAGGCAGTTCCAGCTGCACAAAACTATTGTTGAAAAAAACTTCATTGTGATTTGTGAAGCGTGAAAATGGTGATATTACATCACATGTCTTGCACAAGCCCACTTGGCTCGGCGGCTTTCTTGCTAATCCCCGGGAGTGGAGGCAGTGCCATTTCACATTCCTCAACTTCTTGCATCCGTTAAAGTTGCCTTCTTTCTCTTAAAATCTGCCTCCAAGTTAAGTCAAACCCATCGGGCCTTGATCCAGTATGTTCTGCAATTCAGAAACCAAAACAAAAACAGCAGCAATGCAGCTCTACAGCCCCCTTTTCTTTCCCTTTTTTAAGGTCTGGTTTCATACAGTTGCATCCTATTGAGCATCACTTTGCTCATATATTTTGTTAGTTTTGATTCAATTGTCTTTTCTGGCTTTAAGTGGACTGATTTTGATTGGCAGAGACTGGCTCTTGGGATATGGTTGGTTTGGCTGCTTGGGATTTTCTTGATAGGTGTTAGCTTTTATGCTACTCAGATGTTGTCTTTTTCTGTTAAGGATCAGTTAAAGAAGCCAAAGCTTTTTGGCAATGGATTTAGTGATTCCTCTGGTCCCACGATCACCATATTTGCTGCACCAAGACCTTTTGAGGGTTCATTTGGAGAAAGACAGGGTCTCGCTATCAGATCATGGCTAGGTCTATCACCTGATATTGACGTTGTGCTCTTTAGCCAAGATCCTTCTGCTGTCTTTTTTGCAACAGCCTTTGGTTCCAGGGTATCAGTTGAGCCCAATATCGATTTCACGTAAGTCTCGAAAGCTATGTACTTGATTAATTGGCTAAATTTATAAAGTCCGACGTTGTAGACTCGATGATTTAAACTGTCCAGTGATTTTTGCTATTGTCTTTTCGTATAAATTATAATACATCCAAGTGTCGACATTTTCTAGGCATTAGTAGTTTCGCTTGTTATACAATAGACAACACTAATAAGCTCTTATGATGCCACTCTACCTAGTACAAGCCCTACACTTTCTAATGAATCTTCATTTCTAGAATTGTTGTTGGTAGAAGCCTTGCGCGAACAGGATTGCATGTGTTCTGACCAAAAGAGTGGGATCCGACAAGTTTCTGGTTAGTTTGCTACAGATAATTACTGACAGCGACACTGTGCAGCTGATGAAAATTCTCATTTTTGTAGGTTCCTTGGGACGCCGTTTTTTCATTCAATGGTGGCCAAAGCACAGACATCGAACTCAGATGTTTCTGTGCTGATTGATCCAGAACTAATTCTCTTTCCTGATTTCATTTCCACTTTGAGATTTGCTCACAAACTTGATCACGACTGGTTACTTATTGCTTCATCACAAAACTTGTCCTACTCTCCAGTTCGCTGGGGTGCGGACTGGAAGAAGTCAGTAGCCGATGAAGGGAAGAAACTAACAAGCCAAACGGTATAAAGCAAGCTGTCACAGATTCAGACTTCATGGACCATAAGAGAATTCACAGTAAATTTGTACTCTTTCTTGCAGGGGTTTTTGGCTCAGAAATTGCAGAGGGAATTGTGTGAAAGAAGAATGCTAATGGCATGGAACAATTGCAATCTTCCGCTGCATAATGGAGTCTTGCCTCCTTTTTTGTACAGAAAGGGGATTCACCATCACTGGTTATTAACTGAAGCCTTGTCGTCTGATTATAGGTTGATTATTGATGCCACTTGGACCTTTTCAAATACCTATGTGAATGATATAAACCACGTGTACTATGAATTAATGGAAGCTTCCAACCATTCAGATATTGAAAAGAGGAATTGGGAGTTCATGGGAAACATTCACCTGGGGAAGCTTTATGGGTCATTTTCTTTTCACGAAGCTAATTATTCAAACTTGTTTAGAATTTCTAAATGTGGTGGGAACTATCTTTTGATAAACTCAGAACAAGATGTTGCTTTTTCTCTGGGAGACCCGGTATCATTTAGTTTACGAAATCAAGGTATTTCTGGACCATTAACAGAAAAGAAAATTCTGAATTGTCTTAATGTAATGAAGTCACGTCAAGGGGTTGAAAACTGTTCTCAGAAGGACCAGCTGCAGAGTTCTGACTCAATTTCTCTTCCATTCTCCTTAGAACAACTTCTTTCAATGCGTGCAGACCAGAATAAGACAATTGTGCTAGCGGTTGCTGGATATAGTTATAAGGACATGCTAATGAGCTGGGTCTGCAGACTACGCCACCTCCAGATTTCAAACTTTTTGGTCTGTGCTATTGACCATGAAATTTATGAGTTTGCGGTTCTGCAGGTGACATGCTTCTCTATTATTTGTGTGATTGAATGTCTGGTTCTATTTTTAAGTTTAGGAGGAATGTGAAATGACCATCATCAAAGTTTGGTGTGTATGCATATCATCTCAAAGTGTTGTTGTTATCCATCTGTTTAGTTCCTGCATTTCTCCATGTTCTGATAAACCTGAAGGAATTTATTGCATGCTTCTAGGGCATACCAGTTCTTGAGTATGCAGATATTCCAGCAAATGTCAGTTTTGACGACTGCCATTTTGGAACAGAATGCTTTCAGAAAGTAACCAAAGTCAAGTCGAGGATGGTCTTGCAGATATTAAAGCTGGGTTATAATGTACTATTGAGTGATGTTGATGTGTATTGGTTCAAAAACCCCTTGCCTTTGCTTAGTTCCTTTGGTCGTGCAACTCTGGTCGCACAGTCCGATGAGTATAACATAACAGGTATTAACTTCAAAAGCTTTACTCCTGCGCTATGAAAACTCCCTACGCTTCAGATTTGTCCTAATAGCCCCTCATAATAAATTTGCTATCTTACTCATAAAATACAAGTGATGGAATGTAAAACTTCCTTATTATGCGAGTCTCTCATTTTTCTGTACTTTGATATGAAATAAGGCATTGACCTCCAACGTGACAATCTGGAAAAATCTTATTTAATTTATGATTTCATGCTCATGCTTGCAGGACCAATTAACTTACCACGACGCCTCAACTCTGGTTTCTATTACGTTCAGTCAGATGATACAACAATTGCAGCATTGCAGAAAGTCGTGCAACACGCATCAACTTCTAATCTCTCAGAGCAACCTAGCTTCTATGACACCTTATGTGGTGAAGGTGGTTTCCATCGTCTAGGTGATGACAGATGCTTAGAACCGGAAACAAATATGACTGTTCATTTCTTGGATAGAGATCTTTTTCCAAATGGTGCATACCAAAATCTGTGGGAGGAAAGAAATGTCAGTGAAACCTGTATGAAGAGGGGGTGTTTTGTTATCCATAATAATTGGATTAGTGGGAGAAGGAAAAAGTTAGAACGCCAGGTGTTATCAGGACTTTGGGAGTATGATGTTGGTACAAGAATGTGTCTGCAAAATTGGCACAGGACCACGAGGTTGACAAGCTATTTTTAAACGAAGGTGGATACTTGGTTTATCTTCATTTGAAGCTTTGATATTCACGTGGAGGAGAATACAAGGAGGAATTTGATTGTCCGTATATACTTCCTTAAAGCTCTTGGATTTGCCGCGGATGTAATTTGGGAAAATGATAAAAATGCAATAGACTGCCATGAGACAAAGCCGGCATTGACAAAGTTTAATTACATTGAAACTCCTGATAATCAAATTCTCATAGCCATCGGACCATAATGCTAGCTATTTCAAGGTGGGGACTTCTGGTTGCCATCAATGCTGAAGAGGTGGGCTCTTAAGTTTGGATTAATCAGGTACAAAGAGAAAGAATCCAAAAGCAATAAGGAACTAAGAGTTGCCAATATTTCACTTGAATTAAGCATACAATTTAAGGATACCACTGTCAGGATAGTTCATGCAGGTGGCCGGGAAGAGCGGTATCAACATCCAATTCCTGCATCTCTGTTAATGGAGGAGCATCCTGGGATGTGCGTTGCCAGACCAGATATCTTCAAGCGGCCACATGAATCTGTTCTCTCTGCAGATGATTTTTTGTTGCCTGGGCAGAAGTACTACATGGTACCCTGCACTACTGTTCGCAAATTGAAACGTAGACACTTGCAGAAAGGGAATGTCAAAAAACTCAAGGGAAGTGAGCAGCCACTGTTGTTGATAAAGGATGTTGCAGATGTAGGAGCTGAGTGTTCAGAAGAATTTGTTTGTTCTGCGAAGGACTTTTATGTTTCCAATGATAGGCGGTCCAGTTGTTTGCTAAGAAGAACCTTCGAAGAGAAGAAGTCGTTCGTACCACCAATCCAGAAGCCAAAACCATGGAAGGAACTAGAGTGGGAGCCCAGCCTCACGTCTATAGAGGAAATTTCTCCATGAATTTGTCTTGCTTCTGATTCTGGTGGTCACGTACTAGAGAAACTGTATCTGGACTTTGCGTGCGCTCAGATGCTTATCATGTTTCCTTGGAAAGAGATCCTCGAAATCCTTTTGTACTCTGCCTTGCCTTCCTTGGTCTTGTTCTAGATTAAAAGTATCTTTGTAATACAAGGTGTATCTCCTTCTATGCTCTCCATTCACCAAATTTGCATGTTTGTACTGAATGAGGGTGAGGCAAAAAACATGTTGTGAACATCTTTGGTCAGTAAAAGGGAACTTTGTCTTTTCGTTTTGGCATTAACTTTGATATGTCAGTACTGCTGATTACTGGTCTCGACTGCAGTTACATGAATGCATTTATACTTTCCAATGTTACGAGTTACCGCAGATGTATTTATCTGCACTTTTCTTTCACCGGGCAGCTGTAATTCTTCTCAAACATATCTGGACGGCATGATACTCTGAAAAGTGATTTTGTTTTGTTATTAAGGAAATCTCCAATTCTTTTCCATGTTTTGCATCCAATGTAGGATTGTGTGATCTTTTGTCTGAGTAGATGAACAAACTTTTGAAGCCCCTCTCCTTTTTGTTTCTGTTCCTCTTGTTGGCCATTTCTGCACCCTTGGAGTACATGTACTCGAGTTGTTGACTTTTAAGTGAAAATTAAGAAACAAATACTTAGCTTTTTGAAATTAAAACTGAAATTGGTATACACAAGGCTGGTGGACGGATTGAGATAATGAGCTGGAGTTGTTCTGCTCAATGGTCTAAAGATGAAGAAGAAAAGTGAAATCTGCTTATTTTATGAAATCACTACTGTTTTTTAACACGAGGCACAAGCTGAATTCATCATTGGCCCTATCAGATGTTAGCTATATCTCAGGACCAAATGAACTAATCCTTGAAACATGAAATGCATGCTTAACAGAAAAAAAAAGTACTAGTAGTTTTTGAAGACAAGCAGCTAATAGCATCTGTTTGCTGGATAAACTTCCATTATCATAGCTTGACTTATTACACGAGAAATGAGATTACAATAGATGGGCGTGAGTACAACACGAGGCATGTGATGTATACTGCATAAGAGTTTTACCATGAAATTTGAGGGATGAGGACAGGAAGAGGTTTCAAATTTGGACAAGAAAGTCTCGCATATATATATATATATATATATCCTCGCCTGGAGCTTAAATATTGCTCCACTCGAACAAGTCAGGCAAAGTTCCAAAAAAAATCTACTTGTTCTACAATCACTTTAAAAGATCAATTGTTTATCCCATTCTTGAAGCTTGCATTACGCTCGTAATGCACACTCAAAGTATGTATGCAAACAATTTAGTCAAGATCCACGTGTAGATTACTGCAAAGATTGCTCCAGCAGGAATTGTCACAGCCCAAGAAGTCACAATCTCCCTCACTGTTTCTGCCCTCACACTGTTAAGTCCCCGAGCAAACCCCACCCCCATGACTGCGCCCACTAGAGTGTGGGTGGCTGAGATTGGTAAACCTAGTTTAGATGCAAACAAAACCACGGATGCAGCTGCAAACTCTGCTGCAAATCCTCGTGTTGGTGTTAATTCTGTAATCTTCTTCCCAATTGTTGCAATGACTCTATAACCCCACATCGTGAGCCCTGCAACAATCCCAAAGCCACCCCATGCTAGAATGTGATTAGGAATAACAATTTCTGCTCCACTTACACCCCCCTGAAGAATGGATAATGCTGCAGCCAAGGGACCTATTGCATTGGAGACATCATTTCCACCGTGAGCAAATGACATGAAACAGGCAGACAGCACTTGCATGTAGCCAAAGACTCCATACACCAGTTGTAGCTGGGTACCCTTTGGACCAGCAAAGTCAGAAAGAAATCCAACATTTTTGGTGTGGATTATCTCTTCCTTTGGCTCTCCCTCTCCCGAATTAGACTTGACCAACAGGTGACCAAGTTGCTTTTGAATAATTCTGTATACGATAAACGCTCCAGCAGTACCACAAGCTAAAGCCTGGAGGACAGCTAAAGGGAATTGCTTACTAAGAGGGAAGGCTGCAAAAGAGATTCCAGTCACACCGACAAATACAGCAATCGGTGCAGCTGCAGCTGCAGCTTGTCCTGGGTTCGGAGCACTGTAAACAAACTAAAATATTAAAGGAGGTCAGTGGGGATGAATATGTGACTTTGGAGTAGAATCTGTGTAGTATTCTGTTGCCTACTTTATCTTTCAGATTGAATAATCAATATCAGGTTTCTTCTTGTTTCTTATGACAGCTGTTGAATCAGATTGGGCAAACATAATTTTTCAAGTCTCGAGCTATTAAGAACATACCCTGCGGATGCATTTATAGACAACAAATGACACCATTGCTCCCATTAAAGGTGAGATCACCCACGACGAAGTTACTCTTGCCAATGAACTCCAAAAGACAGCACCAGTTCCCCCATACACGAGACCAAACCCAACCATCGACCCTACAATGCAATGAGTGGTTGAAACAGGCCAACCATAGTAAGATGCAACCTGTGCACACAACCAAGATTTGTTAAGAGGTTGGAAGAGATAAAACAAATAACAGTGTAAATTGATACGTGCTGAGTGATTAAAGCTGAATAAGTTGAGAGACATTGTGCTATTTCATCAACAACATTGTCTAGTTGACTAACGGAAGAGTCCAATCATGTTATTGATAATCATATAAAAGTAGTAGCATGTTGGAGTACACAGCATCCAGTTTTAAGTAGAGCATTAAGATGATATTGAAGGATGTTTTTGTTATATATCATCATTGCAGACTTAAGGGTATCAAATATCAATACCTTCAAATTTTGTTTTCAAAACTGTCTATCTTGGATATTCTGTCATTGATAGAAAGATTTCTATAATTTGATCATCAAGTTCCACGGTATTTAGAGTTCAAACAAGCTGTAACAGAGTCTATGTGCAGGAATTCAACTAAAGCTCTTCACTAGTATCTGGGGCTTTGCCACTGTAAAATTGCAGTGACTTCAAAATTAAGTTTACGCTCCTGCATCACCTTAGACATCCTGCACTCTAGGAGTTGTAAAGGAAAAGAGTAGATTAAATGGTCGCCATCACTGTATAGATAAATTGGAACATTAGCATATTGTTACTGTTCTTGATAATTCCGAATGGAAATAGGACAGAGAATCTTACTAAAATGCTTTTAGGTTTAGCCAGTTTTTCAATGAATTTAATGTTTTCAGTAGTCGAGTCAGAACGTGCTTCCAACGTTACTATACAATTTTGAACAAAAGAAGCAATTTTGAACGTCCATTCCCTTTTTTAAGTTGCATAAATTTTGTCCGACATATATACGGAGAATACAATTGTATGCTAGAGAATTTGGAAACATCTTGAATGTCAACCATACAGATCAAGAAATGAAGGATATAGTATTGCACCTGCAACCAAGTGCCAGCAGCAGCCAAAGAAGATAGCAGCCCTGCGAAAAGCAAAGTAGCCTTTCCATCGAAAACACTGGCAACCAGAATTCCCTTCTGCATTGTACTGGTTACATGTGTTCCCATCAGCAATGCACCCGAGAATTCCAGAACTGCAGCAATCAGTACAGCTTGCATGAGGGATAAAGCTCCTGAACCAACTGAAGTCCCCATGGCATTAGCAACATCATTGGCTCCAATGTTCCAGGCCATGTAAAAACCGGAGAGTAATGTAGCATATGTCAAAACCTTAGCCTTCAATCCAGCAGTCTGAGTCAGTGACTTCATGAAAAAGGGAAAAGTAAGAGCAGCAACTGCTATGCATATGGTAACAGCAGCAGCTGTAGTTGAGGACATATGGAAGGCCTGCGCCATGCCTGGCAATTCAACATCCGTGTTTGCATCAACTTCATGTTGCCTTTCAGATTCTATATCTCCACCTTTGTGATCTTCAGCTTCAGCAAAAGACGATAAGGCCGCAAAAGGGTGTACAGAGCTACAATTTTTCCTCCCTAAAAATGAAAAAGAAGATTTAAGCAGCCGTTGCCGAGGCTTGAGAATAAGAGGGTCTCTTTTAGGTTCACTGGAGAAGAGACGGTGCCTGTGCGTGGGAAGGTAAAGATGAGAATTGTGAACTAAGAAGGCTTCAGCTGGTGTAGTGGCCCTGTTTCTAGCAGAAGATAAACAGTAAGAGGAAGTCATGACTTGACAGAAAAACAGAAAGGATTGAGCAAGTGGGGAAAGAGTGCGTTTGAAGTGAAAAGGGGAGGATTATTCTGGTAGAATCTTGGCCATGGAAAGTAGAGGAGGAAGAGACGAGAAAAGAGTAGGTGGAAGAGGACTGGAGGAGGAGGCACGGTCATGGGCGTTTAGTCAGTCTTTACATATTCTTTCTTTGGTGTAGAAGGATTGGCAGCTTGGTTTGGGGTCTAGTGGAACGAGTGGCGGCTGATTTTTTTCTTGGCCACGGCACGTACACGTCCACTAGTTTTAACTTCAAAATTAGACGTAACAAGGTACCATATCCACTACCAATGGATCTTTAACAAGCAGAGGGATGGAGGGACAGGCAATTTTGCCCAAAGAATCCATTCTGTCCTTTTCTTCTTCTTCTTGTTCCACTTTTCTACTCTTTTTTCCTTTTTCTTTTATTTATTTGCTCAACTTTCATGATGACTAGTTAGATTATGGCGTTACACCCTCGGGTCGGCTCGGCTGGTGCTGAAGATGCCTCATTAGATCTCGGCACTGTGTAGTCAGAGTTCGATTTCTTCTACCGGTCTTGTGTATCTTGGGAGCGGGTGTACAAATGCGAGAAAATTAGTTTGAAAGAAATACTCTTTGTATTGATCAAAAAAAAAAAAAAAAAAGATTACGGCGTTACACAATGAGGCCGTCCACACGCGATCAGCAAGGCTCGAGTCCTTAATTGGACCTTGTCCCCCGAGACAAAGATGAAATTTACCTTTGGACTGTAAAATGACCGAGGCTGTAACAAGCGATCAGTGAAGTTTCTTGTCTTCTACTCATTTATGGTCCAGAAAATCAAAGAAAACAATTGTTGCAGCCGTACTTCTAATGCTTAGTTCTAGAACTTTACAATGCTTGTGAGCTTGTCTGTGCATCAGAAATTGCATACTATGATATTTATACTTTGGGATAAATCAAGATGATAAGCCCAAAATCATAACTGCATTAAGACAGGCCAGAGACTTCAAGATTGAACAACTCCGGCATGATTTTATCTACCCGCTTTGAACCCAAGGTTGAACTCCACTATACCCAGTACCACTATCATGTTCTGGAGTTGGACCAGGCTCATAATGTTGACATTGTGGTTT